TATCTTAGTAGACTGAATTTTTTTTAAAATTGTCACATTTGACCTGGGAAGGCCGATAGTCAAGTTGTTTTTCATCTTCATGTGGCCTTGGTTCTATCCAGACTAGATCATAGGAATCAGGTGTACTAATCTACTTCAATAGCTATAGTATAGTCTTTCTAAGCTTGATGTCATTCATCTAGAATTGCATCTGTCCCTCTGTGCCTTGCATCCACATTCAAAAGTCTACTGTATGTGCATGTTTAATGTTCCTTCATTACAAGACCATGAAAATACTCATTGTCAGTACTATCTTGTTTACTTTCATGATCTTCATAACTCTGCAACGTATAGAATGTGACCACACATTAGAAAAAACTAACACTCAATAATCATCCTTTATTTATTTTAACACAGGCCATCTTCCACTGAGGTAGGGTGACACAGAAGAGGAAACTTTTACCATCATTCTTTCCATCACTGTCTTAACAGGAGCATGCTGAAATCACAGTTCAAATGGCCCTCCGAACTCTAGCATCCCCTCCTTTACTATATTCCTTAACTCTCTTCGAAACTCAGATTGCTTTATCCTTTTCTGTTTATCCTGTTCATTTGTTAACATTCCAATTTGGGAAGTACAGATGATTCAATTATGCCCCTCCTGCCTTCCTTCCTTTTCCAAAATCTGGATGTCTGCTTTGGACTTGCACTTCCTCTTCCTTGAACATTTCCAATTGAATTTACATGCAGTTACTGTGTATACTGATAACTAAATCTTCTGATGGTGTTAGACAAGCCATTTTTCCAAATATACTAGAGTGATAAAGGGATGCTTGTCAGATGTGACTAGTATATTCACAGCAGAGTTGTACACACTTTTTGCAGCTAACATCTACATTGTTGATCTTCCTTTGTTGTAGTCTGGTTTTCAAAGTACATTACAAACCCTTTAGATGTTTTACTTAACCCATCCTATTGTCCTTGACATTGCACACTGGCTGGTGTGGCTTCTTCAGCAAGCATAAAGACATCCTATAGTTAAAGTATGGTGTTGCCAGCCAGTGGCTAAAGACACACACATAGAAGAAGGAAACCTTTGTATTATGTTTCACCTATATGGGCTTTATCAAGTGCAGGAAATATCAAAATAAGGGACATATGTATACCATACATGCATAAAAATGAATATTGAATTATGAATGCATATGGTAAAAAAATTTTATTTATTTTATTATCACACTGGCCGATTCCCACCAAGGCAGGGTGGCCCGAAAAAGAAAAACTTTCACCATCATTCACTCCATCACTGTCTTGCCAGAAGGGTGCTTTACACTACAGTTTTTAAACGGCAACATTAACACCCCTCCTTCAGAGTGCAGGCACTGTACTTCCCATCTCCAGGACTCAAGTCCGGCCTGCCGATTTCCCTGAACCCCTTCATAAATGTTACTTTGCTCACACTCCAACAGCACGTCAAGTATTAAAAATCATTTGTCTCCATTCACTCCTATCAAACACGCTCACGCATGCCTGCTGGAAGTCCAAGCCCCTCGCACACAAAACCTCCTTTACCCCCTCCCTCCAACCTTTCCTAGGCTGACCCCTACCCCGCCTTCCTTCCATTACAGACTGATACACTCTTCAAGTCATTCTGTTTTGCTCCATTCTCTCTACATGTCCGAACCACCTCAACAATCCTTCCTCAGCCCTCTGGACAACAGTTTTGGTAATCCCGCACCTCCTCCTAACTTCCAAACTACGAATTCTCTGCATTATATTCACACCACACATTGCCCTCAGACATGACATCTCCACTGCCTCCAGCCTTCTCCTAGCTGCAACATTCATCACCCATGCTTCACACCCATATAAGAGCGTTGGTAAAACTATACTCTCATACATTCCTCTCTTTGCCTCCAAGGACAAAGTTCTTTGTCTCCACAGACTCCTAAGTGCACCACTCGCCCTTTTCCCCTCATCAATTCTATGATTCACCTCATCTTTCATAGACCCATCCGCTGACACGTCCACTCCCAAATATGGTAAAGATATAAGCGACTATTGGCAGAAAGGTGGGCTAGTGCAAAGATGAGTAGTGGGGGGGTTGAAGAGGGTTGGACGAGTTTTAAAAATGCAGTATTAGAATGTGAGGCAGAAGTTTGTGGTTATAGGAGGGTGGGGGCAGGAGGAAAGAGGTGTGATTGGTGGAATGATGAAGTAAAGGGTGTGATAAAAGAGAAAAAGTTAGCTTATGAGAGGCTTTTACAAAGCAGAAGTGTTATAAGAAGAGCAGAGTATATGGAGAGTAAAAGAAAGGTGAAGAGAGTGGTGAGAGAGTGCAAAAGGAGAGCGGATGATAGAGTGGGAGAGGTACTGTCAAGGAATTTTAATGAAAATAAGAAAAAAATTTGGAGTGAGTTAAACAAGTTAAGAAAGCCTAGGGAACGTATGGATTTGTCAGTTCAAAACAGAGTAGGGGAGTTAGTAGATGGGGAGAGGGAGGTATTAGGTAGATGGCAAGAATATTTTGAGGAACTTTTAAATGTTGAGGAAGAAAGGGAGGCGGTAATTTCATGCACTGGCCAGGGAGGTATACCATCTTTTAGGAGTGAAGAAGAGCAGAATGTAAGTGTGGGGGAGGTACGTGAGGCATTACGTAGAATGAAAGGGAGTAAAGCAGCTGGAACTGATGGGATCATGACAGAAATGTTAACCCCTTAACTGTCACAACCCCCAATCCTGAGGTATCTCCTGGTGTCGCAAAATTTAAAAAAAAAAAAAAATATTTTTCTTATGAAATGATAGAGAATCTTTTCCCAATTGTAATGACACCAAAAAAACGAAATTTGACAGAAAACTGACGGAATTGCGCTCTCGCGAAGTTTGCGACCATGTGCGATATTTACAAATTGGCGATTTCGCCCACTTTGAGCCCTATTTTCGGCTAATTCCTTTCAGTCGACCAAACTCATAGCTATTTCTTTAGAACTCCATTTTTTCTATCGATTGAGTACAAGAAACTGCCCATTTACCAGTTTCAACTACCCAATAATGTGGTCAGAAATTTGCAATTTGGCCAATTTCACGAAAATTAAAAAACATGACAATTTCAAAATAAGGTCCAGAATGAACAATGCAGACATTCCTGGCTCTAAAATAACATTTTCTTTCTTCATCAGTCATGTCTCCAGGTCCCTCTGATATTACTCTTGCTTTCTATTTTGAATTTTTATTCAAACAAAAAATAAAAAATTTACTATTATGCAGACTACTACAATACTGTAATAATTGTATAAATAACATCAACCCATTCATGACTGCATATTAGAATGGCTAGTTGGACATTTATTGGACAATGATGTCATTAGTTTACTTTTGAACATCGGCAAAAATCAAACACTTCCCCTACTTTGAGCTCCATTTCCAGGGTTTTTTTTTATAGTAAAAGAAATCAATATGTTTTCCATTCTATCAAATGAGACCAAGAAAACGAGAATACAACCATAAATACTATACGAAAATAGACCACAAAGTCGGCATTTTAATTAAAAAAAAAACGGTCGGAGTTTTTTTTTCTCATGCACTGCATGCTCCAGGATTCTTTTTTGTGGTGCACACTGACCACACAGACCCATTCTCTCACATGTGGGCCTACCAGCTTTCTCCTTCTTGATTTGAAGCCGCTAGAATTTATGAGTATATATACGTCAAACACGGTACCTCGTAAGACGTATATATACGGCCGTGACAGTCAAAGGGTTAAAAGCAGGGGGGGATATAGTGTTGGAGTGGTTGGTACTTTTGTTTAATAAATGTATGAAAGAGGGGAATGTACCTAGGGATTGGCGGAGAGCATGTATAGTCCCTTTATATAAAGGGAAGAGGGACAAAAGAGATTGTAAAATTTATAGAGGAATAAGTTTACTGAGTATACCAGGAAAAGTGTACGGTAGGGTTATTATTGAAAGAATTAAGAGGTAAGACAATGTTGGATTGCGGATGAGCAAGGAGGTTTCAGAGTGGGTAGGGGATGTGTGGATCAAGTGTTTACATTGAAGCATATATGTGAACAGTATTTAGATAAAGGTAGGGAAGTTTTTATTGCATTTATGGATTTAGAAAAGGCATATGATAGAGTGGATAGGGGAGCAATGTGGCAGATGTTGCAAGTACTATATGGAATAGGTGGTAAGTTACTAAATGCTGTAAAGAGTTTTTATGAGGATAGCGAGGCTCAGGTTAGGGTGTGTAGAAGAGAGGGAGACTACTTCCCGGTAAAAGTAGGTCTTAGACAGGATGTGTAATGTCACCATGGGTTGTTTAATATATTTATAGATGGGGTTGTAAAAGAAGTAAGTGCTAGGGTGTTCGGGGAGAGGGGTGGGATTAAATTATGGGGAATCAAATACCAAAATGGGAATTGACAGTTACTTTTTGCTGATGATACTGTGCTTATGGGAGATTGTAAAGAAAAATTGCAAAGGTTAGTGGATGAGTTTGGGAGTGTGTGTAAAGGTAGAAAGTTGAAAGTGAACATAGAAAAGAGTAAGGTGATGAGGGTATCAAATGATTTATATAAAGAAAAATTGGATATCAAATTGGGGAGGAGTATGGAAGAAGTGAATGTTTTCAGATACTTGGGAGTTGACGTGTCGGCGGATGGATTTATGAAGGATGAGGTTAATCATAGAATTGATGAGGGAAAAAAGGTGAGTGGTGCGTTGAGGCATATGTGGAGTCAAAAAATTTTATCTATGGAGGCAAAGAAGGGAATGTATGAAAGTATAGTAGTACCAACACTCTTATATGGGTGTGAAGCTTGGGTTGTGAATGCAGCAGCGAGGAGGCAGTTTTAGGCAGTGGAGATGTCCTGTCTAAGGGCAATGTGTGGTGTAAATATTATGCAGAAAATTCGGAGTGTGGAAATTAGGAGAAGATGTGGAGTTAATGAAAGTATTAGTCAGAGGGCTGAAGAGGGGTTGTTGAGGTGGTTTGGTCATTTAGACAGAATGGATCAAAGTAGAATGACATGGAGAGCATTTAAATCTGTAGGAGAAGGAAGGCAAGGTAGGGGTCTTCCTCGAAAAGGTTGGAAGGAAGGGGTAAGGGAGGTTTTGTGGGCAAGGGGCTTGGACTTCTAGCAGGCGTGCATGAGCGTGTTCGATAGGAGTCAATGGAGATGAATGGTATTTGGGACCTGACGATCTGTTGGAGTGTGAGAAGGGTAATATTTAGTGAAGGGATTCAGGGAAACTGGTTATTTTTATATATCCGGACTTGAGTCCTGGAAATGGGAAGTACAATTCCTGCACTCTAAAGGAGGGGTTCAGGATATTAGCAGTTTGGAGGGATAGGTTGTGTATCTTTATACGTATATGCTTCTAAAATGTTGTATTCTGAGCACCTCTGCAAAAACAGTGATTATATGTGAGTGAGGTGAAAGTGTTGAATGATGATGAAAGTATTTTCTTTTTGGGGATTTTCTTTCTTTCTGGGTCACCCTGCCTTGGTGGGAGACAGCCGACTTGTTGATAAAAAAAATGGTAAAAATCTAACCAAGACAACTGGCATGTTAAAAAAAAAAAACATAAATAGTAAGTCTGTGATTCCTGACTAGTTTGTACTAGACAACTGTAAGCTCGCTCTCTACATGCATAATGTGAGCATGCACAAGTATGAATACATTTGCCAAAAAATAAGTTGAAAGAATTACTTACTGGATATTAAAAATAACATGTTTGAATATTTGCAGTGATTCTAACAGTAGATCAGTATTTGTGAATACTGTACTGTCATTAGTTGAAAGGTATGGAAAGTTTTAAGTCAGGGCCTAAGCATTTAATTTAAGTAGCTCTTTGTGTGTAGTTTTTTTTATTTTCAGCATATTTTTTTTATTAATTAAAATGAGGTTGTTACTAATCTGGTGTTGCCAACATGGTATTCCTCAGGCTAGTGAGATACTGGAAGATGACCGACGTCTTAATGTAGCTGTTACAAGAGCCAAGTACAAACTCATCATGGTAGGTGATACAGCGAGCCTGCACATATATACACCATTCCGAAAGCTTGCAACCATTTTGGAACCTCATCAGATTTATCAACTTAAAAATGGACAAGAAGGTTTCGTATGGCAAGATACTGTCTCATTATAGTTTGTAACAGATTTTCGGAGAATTCAAGAATCTTAGCCCAGTTTGACCCAACATTTATAAATTCTTGTCTAGTGTATGTATATGTTGTGTGTGTGTTTGTACTCTTTTTATACAACTTATTTGTATAATATTGTTCACAAGGTACTAATATTAAACTTTTTTTCTTTCAACGCACCAGCCATATCCCACCAAAGCAGGGTGGCCCAAAAAGAAAAACAAAAGTTTCTCTTCTTAACTTTAGTAATGTATACAGGAGAAGGGGTTACCATCCCTTTGCTCCCATCATTTTAGTCACCTCCTACAACATGCATGGCTTACGGAAGAAGAATTCTGTTCCACTTCCCCATGGAGAACTAATATTAAACATCAGAGTATATATTTAATGATATAGTCATTGGTCACAAGATCTTAGAATACAGTGGAACTCTGGATTTCATACTTAATCCGTTCTAGGAGGTCAGTCTAAATCCAAAATGTACGAAAACCGAAGTAATATTTCACATAAAAAATGATGTAAATACAATTAATCCGTTCCAGACACCCAAAAATATTAAAAAAAAATACATTTTTTTAAAAGTAACTAGTTTTACATACAGAAAAGAATGAGAAATAAATATAAAGCACTAATGAAATTGCTAAATGAACATTTAAATCACCTTTTTTTTTTTTTTTTTTTTTTTTTTTTTTTTTTTTTTTTTTAAAACCGGCCACATCCCACCAAGGCAGGGTGACCCAAAAAGAAAAACGAAAGTTTCTCTTTTTAAATTTAGTAATTTTTACGGGAGAACGGGTTAGTCCCTTGCTCCCGGCATTTTAGTTGCCTCTTACAACACGCATGGCTTACGGAGGAAGAATTCTGTTCCACTTCCCCATGGAGATAAGAGGAAATAAACAAGAACTCGAAAGAAAATAGAAGAAAACCCAGAGGGGTGTGCTTGTACATGTATGTGTAGTGTGACCTAAGTGCAAGTAGAAGTAGCAAGACGTACCTGAAATCTTGTATGTTTATGAGACAAAAAAAGGACACCAGCAATCCTACCATCATGTAAAACAATTACAGGCTTTCGTTTTACACTCTCTTGGCAGGACGGTAATACTTCCCTGGGTGGTTGCTGTCTACCAACCTACTACCTATATTAAATCGCTATTACTTACCTTTATTAAAGACTCTTGTTGGCATATGGAAGAAGGCGAGGAGGGGAGAGAGAGGAGAGCTTATTGTTTGGAAGGGGAATCCCCCTTCATAAGGACTTCATGTATGAAAGCCCTATTTGGGGTTACTTCCCTTCTTTGTCTTTTACTACTGGACCCCTGTCGTACTAAAAGTCTATCCAGAGAGCTCTGTTTCTGGCGTCTCTTTAAGATTTGTCTAAAATGGGCCTCGCCATACTTTACAACATTGTGTATACCACTACACTTCTTGACTCACTAAATTGTAATGACACATTGCAAACAAACGATACCACGGGCGGGATTGAACCCGCGGTCAGAGACTCTCTGACCGCGGGTTCAATCCCACCCGTGGTATGGTTTTACACTTCTTGAATCTGTTGAACCAGCCTCTGCTGGCCTTAAATTCACTAACAGCAGCACTTGTTCCAGGCATTTTCTTTATGAGATTTGCATGCAAGTGCCTTGCCTTTTCGCAAATGATCGACTTCATAACACTATCTCCCGCTAACTGTTTGTCGTTGATCCACACCAACAATTCCACATCTTCAATCTGGAGTTTACCTGGAGAGAGTTCCGGGGGTCAACGCCCCCGCGGCCCGGTATGTGACCAGGCCTCCTGGTGGATCAGAGCCTGATCAACCAGGCTGTTGCTGCTGGCTGCACGCAACCCAACGTACGAGCCACAGCCCGGCTGATCAGGAACTGACTTTAGGTGCTTGTCCAGTGCCAGCTTGAAGACTGCCAGGGGTCTGTTGGTAATCCCCCTTATGTGTGCTGGGAGGCAGTTGAACAGTCTCGGGCCCCTGACACTTATTGTATGGTCTCTTAACGTGCTAGTGACACCCCTGCTTTTCATTGGGGGGATGGTGCATCGTCTGCCAAGTCTTTTGCTTTCGTGGTGAGTGATTTTCGTGTGCAAGTTCGGTACTAGTCCCTCTAGGATTTTCCAGGTGTATATAATCATGTATCTCTCCCTCCTGCGTTCCAGGGAATACAGGTTTAGGAACCTCAAGCGCTCCCAGTAATTGAGGTGTTTTATCTCCGTTATGCGTTTGTGATCTCTGTTTTTTTAGCATATTTACCCCTTTTGCAACTTTAGCTTTCTTGATTTCTACTTTCTTTGCCAGGTTGGAACAGATTGTTGTTTTCAACTTCCCATACATCCTGGCAAGCTCGGCTAAACATACACCACTTTCATATTTTTCTACAATCTCTTTCTTGAATTCTATTGTTTCCTCACCTTCTTTACCAAAGGGCTGGGACTAGGAACTTTCTTTGGGCCCATGGTGGCTTATTTTGCAGTTGCACTCAATAGTTAAGCACAAAAAAACAAGGATTATTACAAAATGTTTTGGATGAATGTGTGAAGTAATGCTCACTCGACCAGTGACAGAGCCAGACTGAGATACGTATGCATGAGTGGCAGCTTCCTGGGTGGGCAGACGTGTCTGATACAAATAATTTCTGAGTGGAGGTACGAAATCCGGACCAAAATTTTGCCCCAAAAAGTGGTTTAAATCTGAAATGTACAATATTTGGTGCGTACGAAATCTGGAGTTCCACTGTATGCCGTGGAAAATCAGTGAAATGTTTAGTATCATAATGTTATATTACTTGATCACTTTATTACTTGTACATTATAACTGAAGCACTGTATTGCATGTACAGCATTCTATAGTGGAGGAAGAAATCTTATAAAAAAGATATATTATCAGTTCAGTATCAGGCCATATGCAGAGGGTTCGAGTGTTTCACGGTGAAGCCCCTTTGAGTATTCAAATTTGGTATTATATTCAGTGCTGCTCAAGTGAAGTAGATGTTTAAACTAAAAGCACAGAAACTGAAGACTAGCTTTTAGGAGGCTCTGCTCTCTCACCCAGACTTCTTGTCTCAGGCAGGACCTTTGTGCATTCACCCCCTTTTTGACAGCTGTTAGTTAAGGCCTGATTTTATAAGACAAAGCATTAGGAAAATACCATGCATAATTTAGAACTGTAGAGTTGTTGCTCAGTTGGAAATATGCTTTACAAGTGATTTTGCTTTTTCAAGGATGGTTCTTTGACTGCAAGAAGGATAATTAGGAGTGAAATAGGGGGAGCTGTAATGATAAGGTGGCCAAAGTCCTGGGAAGGGAAACTGGAAAACAGGTGCAGTACAGGAATATTTTAAAAGAATATATGGGGAAAAGAAACTGCTAGTCATGTTTAAATAGTTGTCTCCTTGACTATCTGTTTTTGCTTGCAATCTTTATCTCTTCTGGCTCCCTTGGGTTTGGCATGTTCTGTCAATGTACTATATTAATAATCATGGCCCCTCTCACTTATTGCATCTTCTTTCCCTCTCTCCCTCCTTTGCTCCTTATTGTCCCACCTTTTTCTCTTTCCTCCATTGAAGTTTCTAGCTTTAAAGAAACTTCAGAGAGAAAGGATGAGAGAAACCTACTTTATAGTTCACATTTTCTGTAAGTAAATAAATATTTAGCACACCTGCCATCTCCCACCAAGGTAGGGTGACCCAAAAAAGAAAAACACTCACCATCACTGCCTTGCCAGAGGCACCTCGACATTACAGCTCAGATGCTCCTCTAAACAGCAGTATCCCCACCCCTCCTTCAGAGTACAGGCACTGTACTTCCTGCCTTCAGGACATAAGTCCACCTAACCAGTTTTTGTGAATCCTTTCATAAATATTACCTTGCTCACACTCCAACAGCATGTGAAGTCATTAAAAACTACTTGTATCCACTCACTCCTATCTAACACACTCACGCACCCACTGGATGTCTGAGCCCATTGCATACAACCTCCTTTTTTTCCTCCTTCCTTTCCTAGAATGACCTCTGCCCCTCTATCCCTCCACTAGATTTATATACCCTCCAAGTCATCCTACTTTTCTTTGTCCTCTCTCAATATCCGAACCACCTAAATATCCCCTCCTCAGTCCTCTGGATAACACTTTTTGTAACCTTGCACCTCTGAATCTCCAGGCTATGAATTTTCTAAAAAAATATTCACACCACACATTGCCCTCAGGCATAACATCTCCATTGCCTTCAGCTTCCTTATGCTGCAATGTTTAAAACCTATGCTTCACACCCATATAAGACTTTTTGATACCACTGTACTCTGATACATTCCCCTTTTTGCCTCATTGGATAACATTCATTGTCTCCACAGATGCCTCAATGCACCATCCACCATTTTTCCTCGTCAACTCTATAGTTCACCTCATCTTGCATAGACCTATTTGCCGACAAGTCCTCTCCCAAATATGCGAACACATTCACTTCGTCCATACTCCGTCCTTCCAAGGTGATATCCAGTCTTTCATTACCTTAAGTAAATATACACACCTATTGCTATTATTCATATATTCCAGTACTGTTAATGTAAAATTCACCCTTTAAAAGATTTATGGTTTTATGTGCTAGAAGAGTAGGATGGAAGACTGGAAAAAATACTCAGTTTTAAGATCTTTGCTTTTAATGAATTTTTCTTAAATAAGCTGGAGTTACTGACTGAAAATAACAGATACACTTCAATGAGTCTTGTTTGTGTCTGTGCATTTTGTCTTAATTTGAAAGTAATTGGTATAATTGACATTTTGTATGATACAGTGCTAAAATGTGTAAAAATGGTTTTGTATATTTTTATTGTTAATAAAGATTTAGTATTTTTATACCTGTTTTAATATTCCCAGGGGAAAAAAGATGGTATTTAAAATGCTTATACAGTATGATAAGAATCATATTTGGTAGGGGAAAAATGGCTACTGTAGTTGTATATACGTATACTGTGTGATGGTAGGAGTGAGAATAAAAATACTTTTTGTAATTGATTTGAAAATGAGACTAGTATGTTAATTTTGTGCAAGTTTGTAATTTGAAGTTTCTCAATGTGTTTTGAAAGATGTAGATGCCCCATCATAAAATACATTGCCCACCCTTCTCACCAGTGGTACCATCTTTTGTTGTAGATGCTATGATTTCTTAACTGACACCAGTTTGATACATCATGTGTGACTCCCATTCTTTCAGCCAATGTCCCTTCCTCAACACTACCTGCAACTTGGAAGCTGGGGTGTCCACCTGAGTCATGGGTGAACTATAAGGATTCATACACAAAAATATGCTGCAACTATTTTCATCTCCATCCTACCACTGAGCTCATCACGGGGATGCATTAAATATGCCAACGACCCCAAGGGTTGTTAGGTAAGCACCAGGGAATGGGGTAACCACCTACAGAATCAAAAGTGTACATACCTTCTAGTGTCTGCTTGACCCTTATCAAATATACTACTACCCCCACCCCCTTCCACAAACTGCTGGCAGGTGAAGCCCAAGCACTCATTTGACCTGACATGAAGACAATTCTTTGTCGTCTGCAATTTTCAAATTGGACTGAAAACATTGTGCTTATGCAGCATATTGTGGGTAATGGTGTGAACAGCTCATTGGAGTTGGCACAATATCCAGAGGCAAGCACAAACAAGAGGTACAGTAGGTCCTGAACTCGAGATGTTCCACACTTAAAATATTGGCACTTTGGAACAAATTATTGACTTAAAAAACTTGATGTGCTGTAATGATCATTGCCAATAATTAAATTATTTTCAATGAATAGTATTTCTTCAGTTTTTTATCAAATGTATTCATATTTTACATGTGGTAGAGATGGGTTAATAAGCAAGAGTCAATTCAATAATTTTGATTTTTAAAGCTAAATTATTTTTCTTCTCCCCTCAGGGAAAGCGCTTTAACCCTTTCATTGTCTGTTACGTAGATCTATGATGTTGACACCAGGGTCCCTCATGTAGATCTTCATTTTGAGCTCAACTCCCTCACATAAGCTGTGAACAGTCAAATTTGGTCTAGATGTGCAGGGAGTGTGCATAGTATAAAAAAATACCGCCCCATGCAGTACTTCACGGGAAAAGCAAAACTCTGACCTTGTGTTGGTTTAAATTAGTATAGTGACTTTGAGGTGCTTTCAGTGATGGTTTTATTGGCTCTTTCTTGGTATCATTTAATAGAATTGATGATATACTAATGAATTTGGTTGGTTTCAGAACCGAAGTTAGCTCACAGTTGGGCTCAAAGTACAAAAATATTTTTGCAGATTTTTCCGAGGACAGGTGAGGCCCCCTGCTTCCTCTGGTCTGTTTTATGGGTTTTTGCTAGGTCTGATTGGATTTTTTGTACACCGTACACCATGACAAATTCCTAGTTATATTAATTTCCAGAGAAACAGAGTAAATTGTTGTGCTGCCTCTGTTGTAGGTTATGGGTTTGTTCGAGTGGCAGTAAACATTAATACAGATATCACACCACTGTCATCTGGACGCTGAGACACACGGTGGCGTGCCTCAGCATCCAGCATCAGTCTCAGACTTGCTCCCACAGTCAGTTGACTCACTACACTAGCATTCGCAATCTCCAAGACTACATGTTTCGTCTATAATGCCTAGCTCTATTTTGAATATACAGGTCCGCCATCACAAATCCGGCAATCAGTTATTCGGTTCCTTCAGTTATTCGGCACTAATTTTGGCTAGCATAATTTCAAATTTCCAGGGTCGCCACACCAACCTGCTGCTACTGTTTGGTGGCGCTACTTACTGCACAAGTCATTCCAATTTCTTTTTCTCCATTTACTGTTTTAACCTGCTTACTTTTAGCCCTAGCCATGGTTCCAATGAATAAAAGAAATGCTTCTCATTATGTAAAGCACCTACACAGTACATTATCCATTAAAGATAAGGTGGCTTTGAAGCCACTGTCGGTTGTCATGAACTCAGTCTCATGAAGCAGGAGAATATGCTTTATTATTATGCTAATATCAACACTACAGCTTATTTGCCTATCACAATTGATCTATCGTGACATAATAAACAATATAAATAACATAAAACATGTTAAATACTCCAGAAAAAATAATATTTGGCATAGCACCGAGCAGTTCGATGGAGGTATGAAGAGGATATGGTATACAAATACCATTCTCCTATCCCTGTCTTGGGGGCTTATATTAGAGATAACGGAGTGTAGCACAGGGCTAACTGTGATATACACTCGTACTGCACCATAAACATGAAACAAAAGTTATTTTCTGTATACAGATTATTACACGTAGCAGCATATGTGTAGAGAACCTAGGTTAACCCAAAAAAGTCAATGTGGCTTATTTTTAGTGCCTGGCTTGGGTTAGCCATATATGATTTTTGGTAAATATTAGATTCCCAGCCAGGGTAGAAACATTAGGCATGTTTCTTTACACCTGTTGTCTATGTTTACCCATCAGTAAATGGGTACTTGGGTATTAGTCAACTAGTGTGGGTGTTATCCTGGGACACTGACCTAATTTTCTTGAAATACTCAGCATAACAAGCAGCTTTCTATACAGTAGTATGTCACTGATATCAGCTAGGCCTGTATACCTTGTACATGTACGTGTAGTAAATAAAGTTATTATTATTATTATTATTATTTTCTCAGTTGTTTGTTGGGTTATCTTATTCAAACTTGGGCAATGTATGATGAAAAGATACTTCTTAACGTAGACCAAAAATGAAAGAAATCAGACTATAAATAGCAGAGTTCACTTCTCGGCCATTAGTGGCCGCTTAGCGGTATATTTTTGTATGTTTTTATGGTTATATTCTCATTTTTTCGGTCTCATTTGATAGAATGAAAGGTATATTACAGAAATAGATATGATTTTGATTGCTTTCATGATGAAAAGTACCTTAAAATTGCGCTCACAGTAGCGGAAATGTTCTATTCTTAAGCGAATCTCTAAGAGTAAACAAATGACGTCACCGTCCAATACCTGTCCACCTGCCAGTCAAGAATGGGTTGACATTATTTACACAATTATTACAATAATGCAGCAGTCTGCATAACAGTAAATCTTCTATTTTTTTATGAATAAAAATTCCAAATGGTAAGCAAGAGTAATATAAGATGGGCCTGTAGCCATGACTAATGAACAGAGAAAATGTTATTTAAGTGCCAGGAATGTCTGCATTGTTTATTCTGAACCCTATTTTGAAATTGGCATCTGTTGAAATTTGTGTGAAATTGGCCAAACTGCCAATTTCTGACCACTTTCTTGGGTAGTTGAAATAAGTGAATGGGCAGTTTCTTGTACTCAGTTGACAGACTAGAAGTAAATAAGTGTATTAAGGTATACACAAATACAGTTACATAGATTATCATACATAGCAGTGTATGTATAGAGAACCTAGGATAACCCAGAAAAGTCAGACAAAATGACTTATTTCCAGTACCTGGCTTGGGCTCGCCATATACGATTTTTGGTAAATATTTTTTTTTCTCGGTTGTTTGTTGGGCTATCTCATTGAAACTTGGGCAATGTATGATGGAAAGATGCTTCTTAATGTACAACAAAAATAAAAAAGACGGATGATAAATAAGGGAGTTCACTTCTCAGCCATTAGCCGCCTCTTTGCAGCATATTTTCGTATGGTTTTTATGGCTGTATTCTCATTTTTTTTGGACCCATATGATAGAATGGAAGATATATTACAGAAATAGACATGATTTTGATTGCTTTCATGACGAAAAGTACCTTGAAATTGAGCTCAAAGTAGCGGAAATGTTCGATTTTTGCCGATGTTCAATGAACTTTGTGCAAATCAAGTTGTTAATTTTATTAAGTGTATTCTAACCTAACCATTCTGTAATCCGGCAAACTCAGTAATCTGGCACACTACAGGTCCCAATGATGCCGGATTTGTGATGGAGGACCTGTACTAAAAATGTTATAAATGGTGCAGAGGTGACATTAAAACATTATCTGAAGGTGGTTGACACAAACCCACAACCAGTACAGTATGCTTGAAATATAGGAACGGAACTCGGTCGTTAAGTGAGGAGTACCTGTAATGATTTTACCACTGAAAACTACGTGCAAGTCAAGCACATGACCAATGCATTAGCTATATATTGTATATTATTATATGTGAAAAAACAACAGAATAATAATCGTCCCTACAAAAAATGAATATATTCATGAAGCAATAAACCCATGGAGCTTGTATAGCTCCTATGACAAAGGATGGATATTAAAGGTTTTCTTGGTAAATAAAGGCAAGCAGAGTGAGCAAAGTAAAAGAGAATGGGGAAACAAATTGTCATATTAAGATTGTGAGAGCATGCAGAGCAGATGTTACTGGTCTTTCTATAATAAAAAACAGTACAGTAGTTTGGAAAGTTATATTAGCTTGTAAAAGTGTACAGTACAATGATTGCTTTTGAGTTCCCTGTACTCGACCAATGTTTTACAGTATGTACCTTGTATACTGTAATAGTACTGTAAAGATGTTGTACAATGGCATCATCAGAGATTCTATACAGTATGAGCTTAGTATTGTAAGGATAGGGGACCAAGGCCTTGTTGCCTACCTCAACATTTGTGGTACTTTAGTGCTTTGCAAGCTATCAAAAATTTAATTCAACTCATCCCCTGGTTCTTTGTATATGACTTCAGTTGTGCCACATTTATAGCAAAAACAAAATTGTTTTCTACTGGGTCCCTGGTCATGTTGTCCAAGGCAATGATCAGGCAGACTCTGTTGCATGGTCAGCAGTACATGACCTTCCAGTTTCCTATAGAGGTACTCCATTCTCAGACTATTTTGCTGTAATCTTTAGCCACCTTTGCAGCCATTGGCAACATAATTGGTCTGAGTTGACTGGTGACAAATTACATTCTATCGAGCCGAGTTTAGGATCCTGGCCTTCTTATCATCAGTGTCGTGGCTAGGAAACTATGCTTGCCCGTCTTCACACTGGGCGCATGTCTCACTCATGGGCATCTCATGGCAAGGCACCTAATTCCACTCTGTGTGAATTGTTTGGTTCCAGTTTCAGTTTTCCATATTCTGTTGGACTGTCCTGTCTATCACTGAACATGCAGAATTTACCTCCGATGTCGTCACCGCTCTGACACCCTTACTTTATCTTCTCTCCTTACTGATGGCCCCACCTTTGACACACTCCCTCTTTGACAGCAGATTTATTGCATAACCATTGATTGTACTTCCTTTACCACTCCTCACCACCCTCACAAACTCTACCTCTGTTATACTCCCTATTCTGCATCGCTGTATGACCCTGGCGAGTTTAACATTTCATTTTGATTATAATAGGGGCCCTGACCTGAAGCTTTGTTATACACATATTTTTATCTGGGGGGCTTCAGCCCTACTTTCCCTTGGTGCCACCCTTGATGTTCCATAGATCTGATTTGTGTATATGTATTTGTTAGTAATAATGACTTAGTCTGTTAACAGCTAGATGGTGCCTCTTAAATTAATATCTGACCCAGGATAGCTACATCTCCAGTGCTCCTTTCCCTCAAATGAGGTTTCTTGGTACTGGTGAGGGGCTCTTGATCTAGGAAATTGGATCTCTGGTCCAGTTCCCTGAATTGAGTCTCAATACCTTCCATCCCTCCCCCCACAGGTGCTGTATAATCCCTACAGGTTTAGTGCTCCCCATGATTATAATAATCCAGTGCTCCTTACTACTTTCATGACACAATGAGATTTGCATTTCATATGAACCAAATGTAACATAATATTTTGTTTAAGGTGAATTTTGCTGATTGTTTTTCATGTATGCATCTACTCATACATGGAAGAGCATGTACATGTACATGCATATGTGTGTGTGCAATGTTCAATAAAGTTGAAATGGTGAAATATACTTTTCCCCTTACCAGTCTTGATACTGGTGAAGGGCCCTTGATCACATGGAACAGGACTTAACCTCCCTTCCTTAGAGCCTGAATGCCTCCCATTCCCTAAGCACTATATGATCCTTACAGGTTTAGGACTTGTCCATAAAAAAAAAAATGAACTAGCTGATGAAATAAATTCTGACACACCTTGTCATAACCTGATCTAAATTTACTCAACATTTGAAGAATAGGTGGGGATGTTGAGGTTCAGAGGGTCATTTGAACTGTGATATCTGCACTTTTGGCAAAACAGTTATTGAATGATGAATGTTTCTTTATTCAGGTGGGAAATGGTTGATTTTTAAGAAATCAAACTGATATGTCAGAAAACTGTCTTGTTTATTAATACACATTTTTCTTGTTATGTAATGTTAGTCCATCACATTAAGTAGTGTTAGTTACAGATATTGGAAGAATCCCCTCAAGGGAGGTTCCTTGATGCTGGTGAGGGACTCTTGATCTAGGGAATTAGATCTTTACTCCAGTTCCCTGAATTGAGCCTGAATATCTTCCATCCCATGTGCTATATAATCCTACGGGTTTAGTGCTCCCCATGATTATTATTATAATAATAACTGGTGCCTGTTCCATATGATTGTCTAAGGTAATGAACCTTTGCCCTTTAACCCTTAAACTGTCCAAGCAGATCTATGTTCACATGCGTAGTCCTCCAAAAGTAGATCTACTCTTTTTTACATATTTTCAAATATAACAAAAAAAAAAAGTAGATCAAAGTTTTTTTACACGTTTTCAAATGTAAAAAAAAAAAAAAAAAACTTTTTTTACATACTTTCAAATGTTGAAAAAACGTAGATCTACGTTTGAACAGTTTAAGGGTTAATTAGGGTGCCTTGATGCTGGTAAAGGGCTCTTGAGTCCTGGAATAGGAGCTTCCCTTTCTTGGATCAAACCTGATTGTTTTCTAGTTCCTAGAACCAAATGACTCCTATGGGTTTAGCACTTGTCCAAGATAATGATAAGGAACCTATGATACCATTTCTCAATCAGGCTCATTCTACCATTGTATTACAATTCTTGTTTCTTGAGGACCTCTATAATTTATTCAGGGCGTACATGGTGAAATATTTTACCCTTAAGTGCCTCAAAGTTGGCAATATTCTTCTGCATGTCTTCCATCTTCTTCAGTGCCCATTTTGGCATGTCCAGCTTCTCTTCAACAGTAAATACGACAATGTTGGAGACTTTGCTGTGGAAGAAAACTATTATTAATTCCATGCATAGGCTAGCAATACACAACTAAGTTTTAAAATAGTAACCAATTAAAAGTACGTATGACCAAGTTGTGCATCACCCATTTCACATCATTAGTATTTGAAGTTATGCAAACTGAAGCCTATATGAGCTCTAAATATCCTTTGTTGACAGCATTGTGTAATCTTGAACTTGAGGGATTTGTGTGCATGCGTGCATGCGTACTAGCCTATATATAGCTGCCGGGACAGTCTAGCCATTGGCCCCATCTCTTGACTTGTCGTTTACCAGGTTTATCTCCTCCTGGCCTAGTAGATCTTATCACAACTTAAAAATTATGCATGGATTCATCTACTGCTTCAGCAAGATGATTCCACTTTCCAACTGCCCTGAGACTGAAGAAATATTCCTTGACATCCCTTTGGCTCATCTGTCTTCAACTTCCAGCTCTCCCCCCCCCCCTCCTTCCCCTTTCTCGCCTCTCAAGCAGTCTGTTCAAGTCTTCCTTATCAATTCCCCTGAGTATTTTGTAAGTTATCTTCCCTGGTTATTCTATCTTCCAATATCGTTTGATTCATTTCAATTAGTGCCTCCTCATAGCTCATACCCCTGAACTCAGGAACAAGCCTTGTTGTGTACATCTGCACTTTCTCCAACTTCTCAACATGCTTCCTCATGTGTGGGCTCCATATTGGTGCTGTGTACTCCAAGATAGGCCTGGCATATGTTGCATTAAGTGCCTGAAAAGACTTGAGATTTCAAAGCCCCTACTACTAAAACGTCACTGACAAATTATATACATGTACATGTGTTATTATATAACAAGTCACTCAGCATTGTCTTTCTTACAATTACATATAAACTAATTAAAAAAAACTAATGTTTCTTAAAGTTTAATTTAATGTGCCCAGAGTTGTGCTTTTGGGAAGGCCCCTTTTGTGTGGATTTTACGGCTAACACCTCGGTTGCCCTCTACCCCTTCAATCCAGCAGTGTGTTAGCACTGTAGTTGCCCTCTGCCCCTGTAATCTAGCACTGCAGTTTCCCTCTGCCCCTGTAATCTAGCACTGCAGTTGCCCTCTGCCCCTTTAATCTAGCACTGCAGTTGCCCTCTGCCCCTTTAATCTAGCACTGCAGTTGCCCTCTGCCCCTTTATTCCAGCACTGTGTATTGCCTATAACAACCCTCCTCTTCCTTGGCTCAAACTTGATTGCCTCCATTCCCAGGTTGTTGTATGAGCCCTACAGGTTCAGTGCTTCCCCATGGACAAAATAATAGTTTTGTATAGCCAACAATTACTGGCTGTTCAATTACTACAGTATAATTTTCAACATAAGCTTCATTTATGCACAAGCCAACTACATAAGCTACTCCCTAGCATGAAAAACGAATACAATATAATTAAAGAAATATCCATCATGGAAGCACAAGGAATCAGGAAAGTATAGTGGACAGACGCTGTAAAACGTGAACGTTTATTATAGACTACGTTTCGCTCAGTTTAGAGCCTTGTTGAGGCATGACGTGATAAAGGTCTGCTGTCTGCCAAGTACCTTCCTACCATACTTCTCAAAAGGTATGATTAATGTTTGTTTATATTTACCTCTAGTAGTACAGTAGTAGGATACTCCCAAGTAAGACCCACGTGGGTGAAAGGGAAATTTGGATAGTGGAAGATTATTATTATTATAATCAAAAAGAAGCGCTAAGCCACAAGGACTATACAGCGGGATAGTGGAAGAGTGGTGAGGGAGAGGAAATAATTAGAGATTGAGAGAAAGAACCAGAGCCAGACCCAGCTGCATTTACCTCTTGTTGTCAGCTTCGTCTATCGCTCGAAGTGCCACGAAATATTTCTGGTCAAATTTCACGCTTCTTCTGAAGTTTATGGTGAGGTTGAGTTGGCTGCCACTCTCGAGGAAGACACTGTAACTTTGTAGTTCCTCTGGACTAACTAGAAGAAGTGTGTCAAGCGGGGCCTGATCGAACTTTTCCTCCAATAGATCCTCATAATTCGAACTTAGTCTGAACACGTAGCCTGATGCTATAAATATTAAAAAGAAAAAAAAGTCAAGTTACAGGTTCGTGTGAACCATAAATCCAAAGTCTACTGGTATTATTTATTCATTAATTCTCCTCACTTGGTATATAAAATACCCTGTCTGGACAGGAACCATGTGGCTTACCAAAGAAATTAAAATACCTTTATACAGCTACAGATCCAACTGCTAGCCAGACCCAATAATGCCCTATCTGACTCTTAGAATATTAACAATTTCAGGCTATGCTTTTACGTATGACATGCCAAATTTATATTAAAATTTTCTTTAATCACTTCATGGAGAAATCTACTGACCAATTCTGGTTGCTTGAATGCAAGTTACACTATACGTGTGTATTTAGTGGGGCTCACAAGGATCGGTACTTTCCTTCACAACACTTTAGATTTATATACTGTAGTTTATATAGATAAATGGCCTACCAAAATAAATAAATACAGTGGACCCCCGCATAACGATCACCTCCGAATGCGACCAATTATGTAAGTGTATTTATGTAAGTGCGTTTGTACGTGTATGTTTGGGGGTCTGAAATGGACTAATCTACTTCACAATATTCCTTATGGAAACAAATTCGGTCAGTACTGGCACCTGAACATACTTCTGGAGTGAAAAAATATCGTTAACCGGGGGTCCACTGTATATGAAAACAAATCTTTGCAAATGCAAAATTTTTAAATAAAATAGAAAAAAGAGTAATAACTTACAAGCTGAGCAGGTAGTGAGGCAAATAACTGATGAAATTCAACATTTAAATACTATATAATGGACATACCAGAAAGTGGAGTCTGCAAAAATGATTGTGAAATGCTGAAATTGTGGGACACTGAACTGAAAGCATTTTATCATAGAAAGATTACATAAATTAATTAGTGTATAATTACATAACAGTACGTACTGTACTGACAGACTGCATAAGGAAGTTTGCTTAATGTCGGTGAGAGGGTTTTAATTACAGTAGGGAATTGAACCTGTCGTCTCTTGAACTGAACCTAACTGCCTCACCTGCACCGGGGCGCTGTATAATAATTTATTATTATTATTATTATTATGTGCTGGAAAACGTCTAAATAACATTTATACAAGTGGCAAAACAGTAAAAGCTATTCCTATTATATTCTGTAGCTCGGTTGGTAACGCACTTAGCTCAGACAATGAGGTCTGCAGGTCAATTCTAGGTAAATCTTCCAGTAGCTGTATTATTACATTCAGAGGGAAGTGTTAAACCCATATGGATCATATAATGCCAGGGGTATGAAAGGCAGATTCAGTCCAAGGAAATGAATGTAATGTCCAATTCTTTGGATCAAAAGCTCTTCACCTTAAGGGACAATAGTTGTAACAAACGCTACAAATAGGAAGCGCGTCTGTGTCTGCTGCTCATGTTCACCTATCAGTAAAATAGGTACCTGGGTGTTAGTCGACTGGTGTGGATCGCATACTGGGGACAAAATTATCCTAATTTGCTTGACATGCTCTGCATAACAAGGGGCTTTCTATATGGTAATATGTCGTTGATGTCAGCTAGGACTGTATACCTTGTACATGTACTTGTAGAAATAAAGATATTATTATTATTATTATTATTATTATTATTATTATTACACCCCTCAAGGAAGGTTCCTTGATGTTGGTGAGGGGCTCTTGATTTAGGGAATTGGATCTGTGCTCCAGTTCCCCGAATTAAGCCTGAATGCCTTCCACATCCCCCCCCCCAGGCCTGTATAATCCTCCGGGTTTAGCGCTTCCCCCTTGATTATAATAATAATATTATTATAATTACAACGTTGAAATCCACTGACAGGTTACAACATAGTTCCCCAAGAAAAGATACAAGTTGGTAAATAGGAGAATGATAAGACGATAACCACAAATGCTATTACAAAACGGTTTACTAAAAAAAAAGATAAGACTGATATTTTAGTAACATCAAGTAGAACAAGATACCACAGCGCTAACCTAAGACAAAACGATAACACAAAATAGAAAATATCTCATCATGAATAAAGTGATATTCTGATGGAACAAAATCCAGGATATTTTTGAACTAATAATACAGCGCTGTAAAGCCCTTGTGCTTAGCCTTTTTTGATATATTATAATAATTTGAACTAATAGTTAATGTTAAGCGCTAAACCCATGTAGGACATCAGAGCAAGTTGTGGTGAAAGCTGCGCTGTATAGCCCTTGTGGCTTAGCTCTTCTTTTTGATTATAATAATAATGTGGTGAAAGCTTGATCCTCCGTCTTCTGACCGAGAGACAGAAGCGCTTCCTATTTGTAGGGTTTGTTACAACTCTTGTTCCTTAAGGTGAAGAGCTTTTTATCCATAGAATTGGACGTTACATCCATTTCCTTGGACTGAATCTAACTGCCTTTCATACCCCTGGCATTATATGATCCATATGGGTTTAACACTTCCCTTTGAATGTAATAATACAGCTACTCGAAGATTTACAATCTTACGACATTAAACAGTGAAGACTAGACTCCTGGAACTACAAATTTTTACTAATACTAAACGATCACGTAGTATTAACGATGAGTATACTCGATAAATTATTTCATGACTTGTATACCTATTCCTGCATCCAGGTCATCACCAGGTGCAGTCCAGGAGAGGGTGATAGAAGTGAATCCTATTTTCTTCGAGTTTAAGTTAATGGAGTTCACTTTGAGATCAACTACACGTGCTGGTGGCATGGTGTCTGACCCAGGTGGTGGTATTTCTGTTACCTAGTAGAAAAAAATAATAAATTACTTCTCAACAGACTTAAATGATAATATATTATGAAAATTTGTGCCATAATATATCAGATAAACTGCAGCAGATGCCTTTGTTATAAGGGCTATAAACCATTATGTAAACAAAAGAAACCGAATAAACTAAATAAAATCTAAATTCTAGAAAAGGAAAATTCTTGATTTAATATAAAAAGTATACATAAAGAGAGAGCACAGATCCAACGACCCGAGTCAAGAGTGAATTCAGGTATAATGTATAAGAACTGCCAGTCCCCATTGCTCACATAATAAATTTGTCCATCACCACTAATACCGTACCAGAGGGGTTCAAGGAGGCCAGAGTTACTCCTATCTTCAAGAAAAATAGTAGATCTGATGTCGGCAACTATAGGTCTGTTAGTGTACTTAGTGTAATATCCAAAATTCTAGAGAGGGCGGTGTACTGTCAAATAGTCAAGTATCTTAATGACAACAATATTCTTCCTTGTTATCAATCAAGCTTTAGGAGATCTTATTCAACCGACACCTCCCTAATTAATATGATGGATTACATGAGAAATGAAATGTCGATAGGGACCTCAAAGGACTGGTAACCTTAGACTGGTTTAAGTCCTATCTCAGCAACAGGAAACAAACCGTCAAAATCAACCAAACAGAATCAGGACCCCTGCCGACAGCATGTGGAGTTCCCTAAGGTTGTATTCTGGGTCCCTTATCATTTCTGTTATGTAAATGAAATGTCCAGCGTCAAGTGCAAATTTCTACTGTATGCGGATGACAGTGCTCTGTTAGTGTCAAGTAAAGGCCCACAAGATATAGCTAATGTAATAATTCTGGAACTGGATACCTGCAGCAAATGGTTAGTAGGCAACAAACTATCGTTACACCTCGGGAAAACGGAAGCCATACTCTTTGGCACGAAACAAACTGAGAAGGGCAAATAATAATAATGTCCGGTGTAATGGGGAACCCATCACTTCAGTTGCCTTGGTAAAATATTTGGGAATCCCCATTGACCCATGCATGTCAGGAGAATTGATAGGGAACAGTGTAGTAAAGAAAGCGATTGTCAGACTGAAGTTCCTCTACAGAAAACCAGTGTCTACCTACTGAGGCTCGCAGGACCCTATGTCTAGCCCTTATATAATGTCATATGGACTACGCTTGCTCTTCATGGTACTCTGCCTTGACAAAAAAAAAAACTGAAAGATTGACTGCAAATCACCCAGAACAAAATGGTAAGATTCATCCTGGACCTGAGTCCAAGAGAACATGTAGACCAGGATAAATTACAACAATTGGATATGCTGAATGTTGAAGACATAGTAAAACAACTGAAGTTAAATCAAGTTTACAAAATTGCTCACAGTGTCCAAAATACCTTGCTGCCAATTTTGTAAAGGCTGAGATAAGAGAGAGATAAGATAAGATTTCGTTCGGATTTTTAACCCCGGAGGGTTAGCCACCCAGGATAACCCAAGAAAGTCAGTGCGTCATCGAGGACTGTCTAACTTATTTCCATTGGGGTCCTTAATCTTGTCCCCCGAGATGCGACCCACACCAGTCGACTAACACCCAGGTACCTATTTGCTGCTAGGTGAACAGGACAACAGGTGTAAGGAAACATGTCGAATGTATCCACCCGCCGGGAATCGAACCCGGGCCCTCCGTGTGTGAAGCGGGAGCTTTAGCCACCAGGCCACCGGGCCAATCATAGTACTAGGGGGGGGGGGGAGAGCACAACTCTGCAGTACCCACAGTCAGTGGCCAGGCTTCAAACACCTTATATTGTACAGCAATAAAGGAATAGAACAGACTGACCGCACATGTCAATGACTACCTAATGACTACCTCACTGGCACCTACCCGAACACACTGTTCCTAGCTCCGACTAACCCAACAGAAGTCTCACTTATTATCAACACACTAAAGAACAATACAGGAAATTTAAACAACTTACCACCCTTTATATACAAAAAAGCTTCACAAGTACTGTCACCAATCACTGCTACACTCTTTAACAAATCTATCGAATCCTCTACCCTCCCTACAGTTTTCAAAATAGCGAGGATCACCCCGATACATAAAGGAGGAGATCAAGCAGACTTGAATAACTATAGGCCAATATCCAACTTACCCATTCTCTCTAAAATCTTTGAAAAATTAATTCATAAGCGAATCTATTCCTACCTCATCTCCCACAACATAATCAGTGCCAGTTTGGGTCCAGGCCTAATAAGAATGATGCTATTATACACATGCTAGAACAAATATACACTGCACTCGAGAAAAAAGAAGTCCCAGTGGGGATCTTCATTGATTTACGTAAAGCTTTTGCTACAGTTGACCATGATTTATTGCACATAAAATTATCACTATGGTATAAGAGGGCACTCCCTCAACTACCTAAAGTCATACCTTAGCAACAGAAGCCAATATGTGTACACAAATGGAGCAAACTCTTCCACACAACCAATTACAGTTGGTGTCCCACAGGGAAGTGTCCTTGGCCCTCTTCTCTTTCTCATTTACATAAATGACCTACCAAATGCATCGTAACTACTCAAACCCACGCTATTTGCAGATGACACAACATACGTCTTCTCTCACCCAAGCCCAGTCATACTAGCCAATAGTGTAAATACCGAATTACAGAAAATATCTACCTGGATGCTGATTAACAAACTTACTCTCAATATTGACAAAACCTACTTCATTCAGTTTGGGAACAGAACTACAGATGTTCCTCGTAACATAATGATAAACGGATCACGTATCACAAAGCTCACAGAGGGAAAATTCTTAGGAATCCATCTTGATAATAGATTCAAATTTCAAACACATATACAACAAATTTCCTAGAAAATCTCCAAGACCGTAGGCATACTATCGAAGATACGGTACTATGTTCCACAATCAGCTTTCCTGGCCCTATACCACTCACTCATTTACCCCTATCTCACCTATGGAATTTGTGCATAGGGCTCAACAACAATAATCTCAGACCATTAATTACCCAACAAAAGGCTGCAGTCAGAATGATAACAAATTCCCACTCCAGGCAGCATACTCCACCAATATTCAAAACTTACTCACCATACAAAACATCCATACTTATTATTGTGCCTACTACATACGCAGAACACTAAACTTGGATATAAACCCTCCCCTCAAACTTCTTACCAACCTCAACAGAACACATGACCATAACACAAGGCACAGATCACTCTTTGATGTTCCTCGTGTCCATCTCACACTATATAAAAACTCAATGCACATAAAAGGCCCAAAAATCTGGAATTCATTACCTGTGAATATAAAAGAAACACTACCTGTTTATCAATGCAAGACTCTTCTTAAAAAACTACTTACTCACCCACAACTAAATAAATACTGAATAACTGTATCTCATAAATGTATAACCTGTGACCCTATCAAACTATGTTTTTTTTTAATTACTTTACCTTATAGAATACTTCATTCTCTTGAATGCACAGCAACTCATCTAATGACCATATGACCTGTTTCTGCACTACAAATCTGCCTGACTTTTTTTTTGGGTTATCCTAGGTTCTCTACACATATGCTGCTATGTATGATAATATATGTAACTGTATTTGTGTATACCCGAATGAACTTACTTAAGATAGTAGACACCCAGATCGTTTAATCCATCACGCATAAGGAATTAAGTGTTTAAATTGCGTAAGGACCGGTATTAGAACCATAAATGTTGCTGGTTTATATGAATGACATTTCAGATGGGATTGAGCCTGATGTTTCCCTGTTGGCTGATGGTGTAAAACTAACAAGAATATAAAACACGAGGATGGGTAAAGGCTGCAAATGGATCTGGGCAAACTGCAAGATTGATCAGAGAAGTTTTTTTCCTCGGTCTAACCCCAATAAATGCATGGAAATGAAGATTAGGGAAGGAAAAAGAAGGCTAGAAATGGTCCGTACGTCGGTTTACGTGCGGCCAACAGTAACAGCCTGGTTGATCAGGTTCTGATTCACCACGAGACCTGGTCACAGACCGCGCCACGGGGGCGTTAATCCCCGAAACCCTCTCCAGGTATACTCCAGGTATACCTTGACGAGGAAGTGGCGCAGGCAGGCTCCATACACAGTTTAAAGAGAAGGCATGATAGGGCCTACAAGACTAGGGGGAGGAGGGGAAATCTATTAAGTCAAAAGTTAAAAGGCAGGACCAGGAGCCAAGACTCAGTCCATGTAGCTACAAATAGAGTACACGTATGCACACACACTCACACTCTCACTCTTCCTATTGATAACGATGTAAAATTAATTGGGAGAATAAATACCGTTGAGGACAAGGCTATAAAGGGATGTGGACAAATTGCAAGATTGGTCAGATATGTGGTTGCATGAATTCATTCCCAGTAAATGCAAGGTTATGAAAACTGGGGAAAGAGGCAAGAAGACTGGATATGAAGAAACTTTGGGGACAGAGGCTGCAGGCTTCATTTAAAGAGAAAGACCTAGGGGTGAGCATAGTGCTAAGCATATTGCCGGAGGCATATATATCTAACGGATAACTTCAGCAGCCAATGAAAATGTAAGTGTGGAAAATTTTGAATTTTCCTAAATTCAGCATGTGCAAATTTGAACAATATAATCGCATATTAAAATGAGAAATTTCGAGTGAGGGGGGGCATGTAGAACAGCTGCAGAGAAACGCAGAAATGGGACGCCATTTGTAATTTGCGAGCACTGGTTGTCGTGGAAAATTGTGCAATGTAATCAGGTGTCATCGAAGTTCAATTGGTGTATATCGGCCTCAATCCGTAATTTAGAAATTGCTGACATATTCCCACTGAAGAATTGGGATAGATAGTGGAAAAACCCTTACAATTCGGCAACAAGAACGGAAAAATAAAGGACACCGATTCTTCCCAGAAGCACACCTTAGCTAAGTGACGCTTACCCATAATGTACAGTAGTTTTGCATAAGCCATCGTAAATTCTAGCTGTTGTGGTAGCGTTAGGGTGTGTTTCCAAAATATAATAATTATGATCCAGTAATTAAATGGTGGGTGGTAATACGAATTTCTTTTCTAATAACACTATTGTATTATATGTATTGCACTAGTTATATTTTGCGTACCCAGCAAGTAAACTAAAACATATAGTCTACACAATTTTAATCTGCCAAAGTAGCTGGTTTTAATATTTTAATTAATTTAATTCAGGTTTAGCTTTTTGTGAGAGTGGTTATGGAACAGGCATCGAGGGAGTTCCAGTTTTGCAGCCTACTGTGACTAAGTCCCATTTACCTCACCCAAACTACTTGCATGTAATAATTCAGGTAATACCCTGCAAACTTCATGCAGGTAATTTCTCACAATAACAATCCACTATGAGAGTAGCCTTCAAGAATTTCAACAAAGTAATTCAAGTCCCTCTATATAATATATGTCAGGCCCATCTCTGAGTATGCAGTACCATCTTGGAACCCACACCTGATAAAGTATGTTAAGAAAGTACAGAGGTAACAAACGAGGCTAATTCCAAAGCTAATTGGTATGGACTATGAGGAAAGGCCAAAATAACTAAACCTGACGACATAGAAGACATAAGAACCAAGGGAAACACGATAACATATAAAATACTCAGGAATTGACAGGGTTGGCAGGGATAGACTGTTCGAGAGGAGAGAAACAAGTATATGGAACATAACTGGAGGTTAAAGAGACAGATGAGACATAGATGCTAGGAAGCACTTCTTCAGCTTCAGGGTGGTCAGGATGTTGAACGACCCGGATGGAGAAGTGTTGAAGGCAGGCTCAGTACACACTTACAAGAGCAGGTATAACGAGGCACACAGGGATATTAGGAAGTGAATCTGGAAAGTAGCAAGTTGTTAGACCGGTCAAGAGCTAAGTGATGACCCCTGCAACCACATATAAGTAATGATAATTCTACTCACCTTGAGAGAGCCGCCGGTTGCCACTCTGGTGAAGTTGCCTGTGGGTGCTGTGTTGGTGTCATCGACTGGCATCACGCTGCCACAGCATGGCGCTGGTGGTTCTGTGACATAATACATGGTATGGTTCACCCTTATGTTAAATATGTAGCTTCATAACACAATCTACCCTAATGTAGTAGTGCCTTCAGCTCACAACCATGGCTCCGGGTTAAAGCTTGGGGCGGGTGGAGACCTGGACTTGTGTCCTTACACTTGTTGCCTCCTAGTAAAAAAAAAAAAGGACAAATGTAGTGCAATGTGATCCTTCATTGACGGCATTTCGCCCACACAGTAGGCTTTATCAGTCACATTAACCTCGTTAGGAAGAGTGAAGGTAGGGAAGCACCATGCAGGTCACTGTAGTGGTGTGAAGTCAGCAGGTCATTGTAGTGGTGTGAGGTCAGCAGGTCACTGCAGTGGTGTGAGGTCAGCAGGTCATTGCAGTGGTGTGAGGTCAGCAGGTCATTGCAGTGGTGTGAGGTCAGCAGGTCATTGCAGTGGTGTGAGGTCAGCAGGTCATTGCAGTGGTGTGAGGTCAGCAGGTCATTGCAGTGGTGTGAGGTCAGCAGGTCATTGCAGTGGTGTGAGGTCAGTAGGTCATTGCAGTGATGTGAGGTCAGCAGGTCATTGCAGTGTGATGAATGGTTTTGAAAACCGACAAGTTGAAGAATTGAGACACTTATGCAACACATGGGAATCTTTATTGAAGAAACGTTTCGCCACACAGTGGCTTCATCAGTCCAATACAAAGTAGAAATGGGTAAGGAGAGTAGAAGTATGAGGTAATCAGTCCCTCAACCTGGATTCGATGTGTTCAGTCCATCACTTTTGTAGTAAGTGCAGCATAGGGCCAGAGAGGTGGCTTATATACTGCGGTGAGATGAGTTGAAGCAGGAGGAGGCGGGATCTTAATGGGACGTGCCACTAGTGTAAGTAGGTCGTCGTCCAAAGGTTGGGCAAGCGTTGAAGTCTTTGTACCAAGATTCCATGATGTTGCAGTGTCTGACAGATGTGATGAATGGTTTTGAAAACCGACAAGTTGAAGAATTGAGACACTTATGCAACACATGGGAATCTTTATTGAAGAAACGTTTCGCCACACAGTGGCTTCATCAGTCCAATACAAAGTAGAAATGGGTAAGGAGAGTAGAAGTATGAGGTAATCAGTCCCTCAACCTGGATTCGATGTGTTCAGTCCATCACTCCCGCCTCCTCCTGCTTCAACTCATCTCACCGCAGTATATAAGCCACCTCTCTGGCCCTATGCTGCACTTACTACAAGAGTGATGGACTGAACACATCGAATCCAGGTTGAGGGACTGATTACCTCATACTTCTACTCTCCTTACCCATTTCTACTTTGTATTGGACTGATGAAGCCACTGTGTGGCGAAACGTTTCTTCAATAAAGATTCCCATGTGTTGCATAAGTGTCTCAATTCTTCAGGTCATTGCAGTGGTGTGAGGTCAGCAGGTCATTGCAGTGGTGCGAGATCGGCAAGTCACTGCAGCTCTCTGAGCTGTTGCTATGAGGAAAGATGATCTAGTCTAGTGTTACCACACAGCAACAGTAAGTCAGTTTATTCAGGTATACACAATTACACAGAATATCTATCATACACATCAGCATGTGTGTAGGAACCTAGGACAGCTCAGAGGAGAACTACAGTGACGTACAAACCTCACTGTAATGACCTGCACTGTGCTCCCTTATATACATTGTATACTCACCCATCCCATCCAGGTTAATCTGCGATTTGAGAAATCCAAAAGCCCAAGATCGTATTGTACTGCATTTGTGTCTCACCATCGTGCTGGTATTTTAAACCATTTCTCTTCGATTTGTTGTCCCTGTTTACCCAGCGGTAAATAGGTAACTGGGTGTTGGCAGTATTGTGGGTGGCATCCTGGGGTTGGTAGTATATTTTAGATAGGGCTGACCTTTGAAATGAATTGAGGCACAACCCACATGGTTCATCCTCATGGTAAATGTGTAGCATCAGAACCCACATAGACACTATAATTATTTTTACAAGTACATGACTGCGCTGTATGACCCTTGTAGGTTTAGCGCTTATTTTTTATTATAATAATAATACAAGTACTTGTACAAGGTATACAAGCCTAGCTGATATCAATGACGTACTATACAATAAGTGTCAGGGGGCCAAAGACTGTTCAACTGCCTTCCAGCATACATAAGGGGGATTACCAATAGACCCCTGGCTGTACGACGTACGTCGGGTTGCGTGCGGCCAACCATAACAGCCTGGTTGATCAGACCCTGATCCACCATGAGGCCTGGTCACAGACAGGGCCGCGGGGGCGATGACCCCCAAAACCCTCTCCAGGTATACTATATAGAAAGCCCTTTGTTATACAGAGCATTTCGGGCAAATTAGGTCAATTTTGTTCCAGGATGCGACCCACACCAGTCGATTAACACCCAGGTACCCATTTTACTGATGGGTGAACATGGACAACAGATGTAAGGTAACACGCCCAAGGACCCTCACTGTGTGAAGCGAGAGCCTACCCGTGGCCTACCTGGCCAAGGATTCACCCCCATGTTAAATGTGGAGCATCATAACCCACATAGTTTACCCTCATGTTAAATATGGAGCACTACAACCCACATGGTTCATCCTCATGTTACATATGGAGCATCACAACCTACATAGTTCACCCTTATGTTAATATATAATTATAATTTCACCTCATAGTTTAGACGTTATAAATATTCTTACCAAAAATGCCACGTGATAATCATAATAGTAAAAAATGGGTAAACTAGATAAACGCTGAAAGTTGATGGTAAAACTGGTATAACTTTGTAGTATGTATTATTATTAGAACTGAGCTTGCTACCATCTGCAGCTCATAAGAGTGCCATCCCCACGAGCCCTTTTAGGGCGGGGCAGATGGCAGACCAGAGGCCTAGCTTCTCCCTACGAGCCCCGTGAGGGCGGGAAATGTGGCTAGGCCTGGGGACAGTTGGTCCCAAAGATGAGGGGGTACTTGTACCTCCTCCCATGGGAGACTTAGGTCTCGAGACACTCCCCAGATAGGGAGCCAAGGCCTTGTCACCACTACTTGGAAAAGACCCGGGCCGGGAGAGTACCGGCGAATAAAAAAAATAGGTTATTATAAATGATATAACTAGGTTATTATAAATGATATAACTAGATTATAATATAACTAGATTATAAATTATATAACTAGATTATAATAAATGATATAACTAGATTATTATAAATGATATAACTAGATTACCTGGAGTTTACCTGGAGAGAGTTTCGGGGGTCAACGCCCCCGCGGCCCGGTCTGTGACCAGGCCTCCTGGTGGATCAGCGCCTGATCAACCAGGCTGTTGCTGCTGGCTGCACGCAAACCAACGTACGAGCCACAGCCCGGCTGATCAGGAACTGACTTTAGGTGCTTGTCCAGTGCCAGCTTGAAGACTGCCAGGGGTCTGTTGGTAATCCCCCTTATGTGTGCTGGGAGGCAGTTGAACAGTCTCGGGCCCCTGACACTATTGTATGGTCTCTTAAACGTGCTAGTGACACCCCTGCTTTCATTGGGGGGATGGTGCATCGTCTGCCAAGTCTTTTGCTTTCGTAGTGAGTGATTTTCGTGTGCAAGTTCGGTACTAGTCCCTCTAGGATTTTCCAGGTGATATAATCAGGTATCTCTCTCTCCTGCGTTCCAGGGAATACAGGTTTAGAAACCTCAAGCGCTCCCAGTAATTGAGGCGTTTTATCTCCGTTATGCGCGCCGTGAAAGTTCTCTGTACATTTTCTAGGTCCGGCAATTTCACCTGCCTTGAAAGGTGCTGTTAGAGTGCAGCAATATTCCAGCCTAGATAGAACAAGTGACCTGAAGAGTGTCATCATGGGCTTGGCCTCCCTAGTTTTGAAGGTTCTCATTATCCATCCTGTCATTTTTCTAGCAGATGCGATTGATACAATGTTATGGTCCTTGAAGGTGAGATCCTCCGACATAATCACTCCCAGGTCTTTGACGTTGGTGTTTCGCTCTATTTCGTGGCCAGAATTTGTTTTGTACTCTGATGAAGATTTAATTTCCTCATGTTTACCATATCTGAGTAATTGAAATTTCTCATCGTTGAACTTCATATTGTTTTCTGCAGCCCACTGAAAGATTTGGTTGATGTCCGCCTGGAGCCTTGCAGTGTCTGCAATGGAAGACACTGTCATGCAGATTCGGGTGTCATCTGCAAAGGAAGACACGGTGCTGTGGCTGACATCCTTGTCTATGTCGGATTGAGGATGAGGAACAAGATGGGAGCTAGTACTGTGCCTTGTGGAACAGAGCTTTTCACCGTAGCTGCCTCGACTTTACTCTGTTGACGACTACCTCTGTGTTCTGTTAGTGAGGAAATTATAGATCCATCGACCGACTTTTCCTGTTATTCCTTTAGCGCGCATTTTGTGCGCTATTACGCCATGGTCACACTTGTCGAAGGCTTTGCAAAGTCTGTATATATTACATCTGCATTCTTTTTGTCTTCTAGTGCATTTAGGACCTTGTCGTAGTGATCCAGTAGCTGAGACAGACAGGAGCGACCTGTTCTAAACCCATGTTGCCCTGGGTTGTGTAACTGATGGGTTTCTAGATGGTGGTGATCTTGCTTCTTAGGACCCTTTCAAAGATTTTTATGATATGGGATGTTAGTGCTATTGGTCTGTAGTTCTTTGCTGTTGCTTTTCTGCCCCCTTTGTGGAGTGGGGCTATGTCTGTTGTTTTTAGAAATGAGGAAACGACCCCCGTGTCCATGCTCCCTCTCCATAGGATGGAAAAGGCTCTTGGAAGGGGCTTCTTGCATTCTTGATGAACACAGAGTTCCATGAGTCTGGCCCGGGGGCAGATGCATAGGCATGTCATTTATCGCCTGTTCGAAGTCTTTTGGGGTCAGGATAACATCGATAGGCTTTTTTAATAAAATTTTTTGTGGCTCCTCATAAAAAATTTTTTTGATCTTCGACTCTCGTCGGGTTAGCGGCTTGCTAAAAACTGAGTCAATTGGGATTGAGTACTCACCTTTTCCCTTGCTGTATCTGGAGGCCCCACTTTTTTAAGTAGGGGCCC